ACTAGCAATCGCAAGGAAACACACGCGTCGCACGAACCTCGGAGCTCGGGCCACCCGCCCAGGATCTCTCTGCCCACGAGCGGCGGGACACCACATCGAAGTGCATCGCCACGTGCGGCCGCCTGCCAAGCGAGCTCGCGCGCTCTGCCACCTGCGCCGCGCAGTCGCAGAGCCTCGCTACCGCGCGCTTCGGGCCAAACACACCTGGACCACGTGCTGCCTGTGACACCATAGCGACACAAAGCACGGCTGATCGTCCAAGATCGCCGACGCGGCCATGTGCGCATCGAATGCCGCGTGCCACTGGTTGAACGGCATCAGCCCTTTCTGGGCCCCTGCCTCCGGGGGGCCCCCCTGTGCCCCCGGCGCTTTGCCCGACGCCCAGAACGGCAGGAAACCCTTCAACGCGCGCCAACAGGAAGAGCCGCGCGAGCGCGCGCGGAGCGACCCCGCCATGCGGTCCGGCGACGCGCACGGGCGGGGCACGCCCTCGCGCCGCAGCTTTGCCGCCTGGGTTTCCAGCGCGTCGACCGCGGCAGACGACGGCCAGAATCCCGCCGGCAGGTAACGGAGGGGCCCCTGCGACGACGGCGACCAGCGACACGCGCGCGACCCGCCGACCGCACAATCGCTCCCGCCTGATCAATGGCCGGCCCGATCGCCACATGCTTGGCGGTCGGTTCGCGAATGGAACGCAGCGCACCTTCGAAACGGGGGAGCCACCAGCCTCGAGCACGGGCAGCCTCTAGCCAAAGCCTCTGTTCGCAAGCCGCGCAGGCCGATGCCTTGACGCATCCCGCCTGCCAGACCGGGTCGGCAGGCCGCCGGCCCCGGCGCGACGGGCGCTCGCCTTTCCAGCTGAATCGACGCCCTTCGGCGAGCCCGGCCCCAAGTGAGTGACCTCATTCCGCTCCAGCACCTCGGCCAAAGTCTTGCACAAGGCATCCCTCGCGGGGCCTCGGACCCGGCCTCGGCCATCCAAGCGGGAAAAGACAGCTCGGCCATGATGCCCACGCGAGCTCCACAAACGTATTTTTCGCGCAGCCCTACTGCACGCTGCGCGACCGACGCGGACAGAACATGTTCTCGACCCAAACGCGTGAAATTGCGGCCGCAAATGATCCCGGGACACGCGCCGACACGCGCAAAATGCCACGCGCAGACATGACCTGCAACGAACGGGCCACACACGCGCCTCACGCGTGCGGAGTTGCGACCACCACTGAGCCGAGTGTCACATACGGGCAGAACGTGCCACAAAGGGATACGCACACGCCTCACATGTGCGGAGTTGCGGCCACCATTGAGCCAAGTGCAATGTGCCACAAAGGGCCATGCACACGCAACCCACGCGCGGACTTGCGGCCACCGATGAGCCAAGTGCAACGCGCCACAAAAGGGGCATTCACACGCCTCGCACACGGAGCTGCGGCCACCATTGAGCCAAGCGAAGCCTGCCACGTAGGGGCAGGCACGCGCCTCGAGCGCGCGGAGTTGCGGCCACCATTGAGCCCGCAGCAACGTGCCACAAACGGGCATGCACACGCCTCGCGCGCGCGGAGTTGCGGCCGCCATTGAGTCGTGTGCAGCCTGCCACAAAGGGGCAAGCACACGCCTCGCACGCGCGGAGCTGCGGCCATCATTGAGCCGAGCGAAGCCTGCCACACAGGGGCAGGCACGCGCCTCGATCGCGCGGAGTTGCGGCCACCATTGAGCCAAGTGCAAAGAGCCAAAGACGGGCATGCACGCGCCTCGCGATCGCGGAGTTGCGGCCGCCATTGAGTCAAGCGCAGCGTGTCGCACAGGGGCGCGCACGCGCCTCGCGCGAGCGGAGCTGCGGCCAACATTGAGCCAAGTGCGGCCTGCCACACAGGGGCAGACACGCGCCTCAAGCGCGCGGAGTTGCGGCCACCAATGAGCCAAGTGCAACGCGCCACAGACAGGCATGCACACGCCTTGCACGCGAGGAGCTGCGGCCACCTTTGAGCCATGTGCAGCCTGCCACAAAGGGATGCGCACACGCCTCGCGCGCGCGGAGTTGCGGCCACCACTGAGCCAAGCGCAACCTGCCACAACCGGGCAAACACACTCCTCGCGCGCGCGGAGTCGCGGCCACCACTGAGCCAAGTGCAACGTGCCACACATGGGCAACACACACGCCTCACACGCGCCCAACGCGTGGACAAGCGCACGACGGCACCCGCGCGCACGGCCACGGTGAGCGAGCAAAAGCCGCACCGCAGGTGCCCCCTCGCCGAACTTGGCCGGACACCCCCCCCAGCAGAGCGCGCGCGGCGCCCCTTTCCAACCCTGGGCGGCGCGCGCGCCCCCTCGCGCGCTCGCCCGGCGCCTCGCGCCCATCGCGCGGGCTCGCGCCCCGAGCCGCTGAGGCCCCCCGCGGCGACACCCCTTTCTTTTCGCCCAAGCATGGGGGATTGGGCGGGGGGCGCCCGCCCCGCCGTTTCGCGCCCGCGATCAACGCCCGCGAAACGGCATCAAAGGGTCGACGAGAATGTGCCGCCCCCCGACGGGGCGGCTGCCCCATCGGCAGCTCGGGGGGCGCCGCGCCCCCCGAGCGGCCTGGGAGAACAGGGAAAGGAAGCGCAGCGAGGGGGTCAGAGAAAGACTGCTCTCCTTCCCGACCAGATGGACTAAGAAATAAATCGAACATAAAGCGCTCGCCCAAGTCTCGAACCCGCCCGCGGATGCCCCGCCCCAGACTGCCAGCCAAGTCACATTGCATCTGCGGCGGGGGGGGGGCGATTGAAACGCGCTGCTCTGGGCGGAGGTGCCGGCTCGGCAAGGCACGTCGTCGACTGGGCCGGCAGACCCGTCGCCTGCCTTAGGGGCCTCAGAACCAGAAGAGGCAGCTCTAGGGGAGGACGCGGGACTCGCCTCGCCGCCGCCGGCCGCCTCGCCGCCCCCCGCGCGACGCCTCTTGGCGGCAGGGCGGGTCGTCGGGGCGCGCCGGGCCGCGCGCGCCTCGCGGGCGGCGTCGGCCGCCTCGGCGAGAAGCTCGCGGGCCACGACCCGCAGCCCCTTCTGGAGCTGCCCCTGCCGCGCCCGCCTCTCCCAGGGATCCTCCGGCGAAAGCTCCGCATCATCAGCCACAGAGAACGCTTCGCCCACGTCGACGCTGAAAGCGCCCGCCTGATCTGCGAGAAAGCTCTCCGGGGAGATCGTCGACCACTCCATCTGGGCGTCCTGGCCGTTCTTGAAAGCGCTGGCGGCGGTGACCTTCTGCGCGAGCGCGCTGTTCGCCGTGTCTACGTGCTCGAGCGCTTCGGCCACGGCGTCCAGGTTGCGCCGCTGGGCCGCGAGCCGCTCCTCGGACTGCTTGATCATGCGCAGCTCCTTCTCCACCTGGGAACCGTGGCGCGGCCAGTTTCGCCTGCGCCGAGCGAGCTGCTCTTCCGACGACTCGGGGACCTGCGGGGGAGGGCGCAAGGCCGGAAGTTGAGCTCGACAGCGAGCAGCTTCGGAGGCGTTGTCCACTTCGTCCCCCGGGACGATGAAACTCCACCTCGGCTGCCGGGGGGGCCCTGGCGGCCGGGAACCATGGCAGATCGGGATCCGCGATGGCCAGGGCGAACGACGCCCTGGAGTTCGAGCTGCCCACTTTGCCCATCAGCGCGAGCGCCGCGACCTCCCCCCGAATGCTGCATTGCGGCATCGGCCAATAACCAAGACGCGGGCACGACTAGCTCGAGCCGTTGAACCGCGGGGCCTGCGACCCAAAGTTGAGAGGCGAGCGGGCGCGACGAACTGCGCCATTTGCCCACGCCCAAATAGGCCGAGCGGGGGAACGTGAGGAACTCCACCACTGCAAGTCGCCCTGCATGTCGTGCACGAGAAGGATGCGATCGGGTTCTTGCCGCAGCCACAATTGTCACAGGGCCACATCGCACCTTTGGCTGGATCGGACTTCGACCTGTGCGCTGGCCCTTTGCTACCCCCTTGCTAAGTCCATGGCTTTCCAAGGAAAACATGATCCATGGGGCGCAGCGAAGACGCGCCATAATAGGCCCAAGCCCAGCACATAACGTTGGACAACGACTGTGCGCAGAGCGAAAAAATAAAATGCGCCTAGAGATGGGGCCGCGAAGGCCCCCTTGCCAGCGAGGGCGCGTCCCTGAACAGGAAAAGCTACGGGCTTGAACCAAAATGGCCACGGACGCATTCATATTTTCGAGCCGACGGATCTCCCAATGACCCCTGGAATCCTCGTCCAGCTGATCGATGGTCACATCGACAACGCCGTCGTCCCCGCCGCTGCGGCGGACGACCCTCTGCGCCAAGGAGAGGCCGATCTTCGCGCAGCCAGCTAGCATCTACGGGTGCAAACATGCACCGCTCCTCGAGGCTGTTCCTCATCGTCTCCTTGATGTCCAAGGCCAAGGCCTCTTCAATGTGCATCGACAGCGCAGCAGCGCCCTTGCGGTCGGAGTTCGAAGCGCGCGCTGCGAAGAGGAGACAAGCCGCTGAAAGGCTCGCCGGAAGGCCGAGGACTCAGTGAGCACTGGTGCTCGTCGTCTCTCACATCGGCGAACGTGGCCTTCAGGAGGAGGAGGAGGAGGACGAGGAAGACGAGGCAAACGAGGGGGAAGGGGCAGGAGGAGGGGGAGGAGGAAAGGGAGGAGGCAAGCTAGGTGCGCTCGCGTCATATCTGACGCCCTACCCCTCCCTCCCATCCCTTACCATGGCGCTGAGTTTCTCTATCCGCGGACGCGTGTCGTAGCGGACCTGTGGCTCCGCGCGCGCGTGCGTACTGGGTGGTGCGCGTGCGTGCGTGCGTGCGTGTGTGCGTGGTTGTGGTGGTGGTGGTGGTGGTGGTGGTGGTGGTGGTGGTGCTGCTGGTGCTGCTGGTGCTGCTGGTGCTGCTGGTGCTGGTGCTGGTGCTGGTGTTGGTTCTGGTGGTGGTGGTGGTGCTGGTGGTGGTTGTGGTGGTGGTGGTGGTGGTGGCGGTGGTGGTGGTGGTGTTGGAGGAGAAGGAGGAAGAGGAGGAGTCGAGCGCGCGAGGGGCGCGGGTCCCGACCTCTCCGCGCCGCGGCGCGGCGCCTCTCATGCCCTTGACGGAGATGGCGTCGAAGAGGACGGTGACGAAGAAGCTTGCGGAGCCGACGAAGCCAGAGAACCCAGTGTATAAGATGTGGTGAGGTTCTGCATTCTGATGGCAACGATATTCCCCGAGGACAGCATGACCCCGATGCACTTTTCGCCCGCGTGCAACTTTGACATGACTTCACTCTCGCCATTCAGCGCGGCGGTGCGGAGGCCATGCGGGCAGACATGATCACCCAGAGACCACGCTCTGGAGAAGGCGACGTCGTCCGAGCCCTTGATGTTGTCCGTGTTGCGGTATTTGTCATTGTCCTTGCTCTTGTCTTTGGCCATGTCACTGTCACTGTCGGCGACGAGGACGGCGCCCTCGTAACCAGGAGCGCTCGCGAAGTCGATGTGCGCGCCAGGGCACGCGCATGGCGGCATGTCGGCGCGGATATACTTCGTGGAGCCTCCGCGTCTCGCGCAGCGAGCGGCTCCAATAGCGGCACCATGTGAGTTCTTGCGCTTGGCTTTGCCCTTACGCATGTTCTTGCCCTGGTCCGAGCCGTTGCCCAAGCCTTTACCCTTCACGTTGGTTTCCTTGCCGCCCTTGCCCTTGCCAGGAGCACCACGCGGCGTCGCAGGAGCCTGCATCAGCGGAGCCGCCGAACATGAAGGAGAGGCCGAACACCTCAAGGAAGAAGCCGCAGAACTTGACGAGGACGGAGCAACTGACGCATGAGCAGACACTGACGGAAACGTAGAAGCGCCTGCTAACCTCGAAGGGTCGCAGAAGAGCACGACGCCGAAGTAGGGGTAGCGGAGGAAGAGGCCGCCACCCACGTCGGAGGGGCAGCGCACCGAACAGCAGCGCCACGAGGGGAAACATGCATACCGCGGGAGGGGCCAGCCGCCGCACAAGGCGACGCAGGAGACGCAGCTGATGAAGTAGAAGCCCCAGAAGCATGGCACACAACTTGAAGGAGGTCATGGTCAGCTTTTTCGGGCTGACCATCGGCATCTGGCGCAGCAGCACCACCTGCCGCAATACGCTCCTCGAAGATGCACAGCTCCATCTCGAAGTCCAGATCGTGTGAGAACGTGTAGTTGTCAGCCACACCAGGCGGCGGAGAAGGGGAGGGGCGCGGATGACCCGCGGCACGCCCTGCGTCGCAACGAAGGCCAGCGAGGAACCTCGTGCTGAAGATCACCTCCGCCACAGACACCCACCGGCATGATGATCGGCGCGTGCACGACACGGGTAACGACCTGCAGCGCCTGCGACATCGCGTGCAACCCGAGCGTGAGCGCATGCACCAGACCACGATCAGGACGAGCCTCATGCCGAGGAAGAAGTGCGTCCAGCTGGAGTTCGCGCTTGTCCGATGTGTGCGTGTGTGGCACAGCCGCACACCAGGAGGAACGACAGGGACCCGATGTTTGGCACGGCCAGGACGCGTGTTGATGTCCCTAAGTTGCTTCAGCGAGTCGGTGTCAAAGCAGGGGGCGGCCTGCTCAATCGCGGTACGAAGGCTACGGGAATGCACACCAGCTGCCGCCTGCACCGCTGGGTGTGCAGCGAGGCCTTGCACCCTGCAGGGGGATTTTCGACGAAAAATAAAAAAGCACCCCAAACATATTTAAAAAATAAGCCAAGAATAGTATGGGGACTAGTTTTTGAATAGTTTTTGACCTGTTTGGGGCATTGTTGGGGTATTTTTTACTTTTTCGTCGAAAATCGCTCTGTAGGGGGACACGCCCGACATAACACGAGCACGGGCCCGCTCACGACGAGTTCCCAGCTTCGGCGGCGAGCGGCAGGAAACCGTGAAGCAGAGCACTCCAGAGAGCAGGCGCCGCGCAGCAAGGCGGCGACGCGCACCGAAACATGCGGGAGGCAGGGCGCATCTGGGGCCCTGGCCTCGCATGCGGCTCGAGCCGAAATGGCTACGGAGGAGGAGGAGGAGGAGAAAGAGGCGAAGGAGGAGGAAGAGGAACAACAAAGAAAGAGGAGGAGGAGGAGGGGGAAAGGAACGAATAACGACGAGAAGGAAACGAAACAGGAGAAGAAGAAGGAGGAGGAGGAATAGGATGAGGAGGAGCAGGAAGGGAGGATAAGGAGAGGGTGAAGAGGAGGCGAGCGAGGCGGGGGCATCGCATTGAGTGGAGAAACGGCCCGGGCTGGACAGGGGGGTGGAGGCGAGAGAGGAGCGACCACAGGAGGGTCGGGGAAAAGAAGGCGATTACAAGAGCGAAAACGACGGTCTCTGGAGGTTCCGGGAGGTCCATGGCGGCCCCATGGGGGGGCGCCTGGGGGCCAGTGGCCGAAAACCTCCGCCAGGGTCGATCCTCGACGACGGCGACGACGACGAGGGCTGTGACGACGACGAAGACGACAAAGACGACGACGACGACGACGACGACGACGACGACGACGACGACGACGGCCACGATGACGACGACGACGGCCACGACGACGACGACGGCCACGACGACGACGGCGGCGACGACGACGACGACGACGACAAGGACGACCACGACCACGACGACGACGACGACGACGACGACGACGACGACGACGACGACGACGACGGCAACGACGACGTCGTCGACGACGACGACGACGACGACGACGACTACCACGACGACGACGACGACGATGACGCTGCGGCAAGAGTCCTGCGGCAGTGGCCAAGGGTCGGCAGCGTCGTCAGCGGCCCACAGCGACGCGAGGTCCAGCGGCGCGGGCGCCGGGTCGCGACTCGTGGCGAGACCTCGACCGCCGTCCAGATCTCCTCGTCGTCGTCCCTCGTCCTCTCCCCTAGTCCAGATCTCCTAGTCGTCGTCCCTCGTGCTCGTCGTCGTCCCTCGTCCTCTCCTCGTCCAGATCTCCTCGTCGTCGTCCAGATCTCCTCGTCGTCGTCCCTCGTCCTCTCCCCTCACCCCGTGACTAACGACAACCAACCAAAACAGATTCTAGACGCTTCACGTAACCCCACCAGCCACGCTGGCAGTGCCCCTCAGCCTCAATCCCTTCAGCCACCCACCTGAGGCCTCGGCCGGCGCGTAGCTGTTGCCTCGCGCGTTGCCTGTGCTTTATCACCCCTGCCACCCGCCCGCCGCTGGGCCGCCGCGTGAGGCCTCGGCTAGCTGCGTTAGACGTGGCCTGCCCCCGCTGCCTTCGCTTAATTCGTCGCTGCGTAGCCCGCTTTGACCTGACTCGCCGCCGGCGCGCTCGCCCGCGGCCGCTGACTAAAAAAGTAACCCCACCAGCCCATCCAGTAACGATGCTCAAACGAAGTGCCTCGATCACGGAAGCGGGCAGCACACAGAGGAAGGGTCCCCCTGTGGAGGCCTCTTGGAGCGTCTTGGGTGCCTCGGAGAGCTTCTTGGGGCATCTTGGGGGTCTCTTGGGAGCATCTTGGAGGCCTCTTGGGCGCCTGTTGGGGCCTCCTGGGCGCCTCTTGGGGCCCTCTTGAAGCGCTCCTGGGAGCCTTGGGAGCGCTCTTGGGGCCATCTTGCAGGACATCGATCAAACAAGAAGCGAGCATCAGTTAGCGTTGCCCCTCGGGAGCCCAACTAATCGCTTCTTGGGGCGCTCTTGGGGCGCTCTTGGGGCGCTCTTGGAGCGCTCTGAGGCGCTCTTGGGGCCGTCTTGGGGCTCTCTTGAGCCTCTCTTAAAGCCCTCTTGGGCCATCATGGAGCCATCTTGAGGCCTCGGATGGCCATCGTAAGCGAAAAGGCGAGAAAGCCAAACACAATAGTTTTCCTAAGGTTTTGACCTCTTCGGGACCTCCTGGGGGAGCTCGTTGGCCACTTGGAGCCGTCTTGGAGCGGTAGTGGGGCATCTTGGAGCATCGTGG